CATATTCTGGTAAAAAAAAAAAAAAAAAGCTTCCTGATTTAATACGCGGAATATGACAGCGGAGAGAGAGTGAAGAATAGCCTTGGCCGTTCTATGGGAAGAAACGTCACGTTACTGAAATGTGTTCTACCGGCTGTGTCGAGGCTCTACTGTAAAACCTTGACACGACCGCGGACTTCTCGTCTTGAGGAAGCCGTGAGACGCGGTCAGGGGGTCGGTCACAGTGTCAGCTCGGAGCCGGGATCTCACAATTTTCCGGGTGCTCTTTCAGCCACATAAACTCAAATTTCAAGCTAAGATGTCTGGAATGTCACTTCTATGCCAGGCACCGACCAGGCCTGTATCACTGGGCTGATAAACATCTATAGTCTTAACATTTATTAATTGTTAACGCATATAATAATAATAATAATAATAATAATAATAATAATAATAATAATAATAATAATAATAATAATAATAATAATAATAAATTTAAGATATATTTTTCCATTTGGACGCATCAGACGTCACCTTAACAAGTTGGTATTGTTGAGCTTTATCTCGGGTTGTCTCGAACATTTCAGAGCTTGAAGATGGTCTTACAGTTTGTTTCTTTGGACAGGGGTCTGTTGTGGAAGCAGCAGTAAATTATTGAAGAGGGGCTGCAGAGGTCACGACAAAGCCTATAGGCTACTATACAATGTTGTGTAACATCTCTTACGGATCCATGTTTCTTTTAGCTATTGACTCCAATTATAATGATATTTAATTAGAAAGATTTTTATTATTTACTGCAAATTTCTATCGTTTAAAAGAATGCGAAGGCATTATCGAATTATATTTAATCACATATACAAAATAGGCTATATAACTGTAGGATTGAATATGCAAACATATAAAAATCACAAAAAATGATTGAGATAAAAATACATCGCCGTAAATTTTTCATTTTCATACCAACAAACTGGTTGAAATGTGCCTAACGTCAGTGACGTCCTTATATGATTAGTGTCAATGAAGACAATAGACACTAGTGTGTGTGTGTGTGTGTGTGTGTGTGTGTGTGTGTGTGTGTGTGTGTGTGTGTGTATGACGCTAAAAAAATCGACTGATATTTTATATTTTTAGCAATTAGATAAATGACTGACGTGGAGAGACCGCAGCGTCTCGGCAGCCAGCCTCTGTCTCTCTGGCCTGACTCTTTGACATAAAGTCAACTTGAACCATGTGGATCAGCGGGTATTTGATGGCGGCAGAGGCAGAGCAAAAAGACCTAAACACCGGCCCCGGACTTTGGCCCACTAACACTCACCTGGAGACTCACCATCAGGTAGGAACCCTGTATCATATTAAACAGAGGTTAAAGTAACTGTGATGTTTTGTAGAAAAATGCAGGCACACTAATTATCTCATTTTGTAATGTTACAGGCCTAGTTTAGCTATTGTTGCTGTTATTACTGTAGTTNTGATTTAATACGCGGAATATGACAGCGGAGAGAGAGTGAAGAATAGCCTTGGCCGTTCTATGGGAAGAAACGTCACGTTACTGAAATGTGTTCTACCGGCTGTGTCGAGGCTCTACTGTAAAACCTTGACACGACCGCGGACTTCTCGTCTTGAGGAAGCCGTGAGACGCGGTCAGGGGGTCGGTCACAGTGTCAGCTCGGAGCCGGGATCTCACAATTTTCCGGGTGCTCTTTCAGCCACATAAACTCAAATTTCAAGCTAAGATGTCTGGAATGTCACTTCTATGCCAGGCACCGACCAGGCCTACATCACTGGGCTGATAAACATCTATAGTCTTAACATTTATTAATTGTTAACGCATATAATAATAATAATAATAATAATAATAATAATAATAATAATAATAATAATAATAATAATAATAATAATAATAATAAATTTAAGATATATTTTTCCATTTGGACGCATCAGACGTCACCTTAACAAGTTGGTATTGTTGAGCTTTATCTCGGGTTGTCTCGAACATTTCAGAGCTTGAAGATGGTCTTACAGTTTGTTTCTTTGGACAGGGGTCTGTTGTGGAAGCAGCAGTAAATTATTGAAGAGGGGCTGCAGAGGTCACGACAAAGCCTATAGGCTACTATACAATGTTGTGTAACATCTCTTACGGATCCATGTTTCTTTTAGCTATTGACTCCAATTATAATGATATTTAATTAGAAAGATTTTTATTATTTACTGCAAATTTCTATCGTTTAAAAGAATGCGAAGGCATTATCGAATTATATTTAATCACATATACAAAATAGGCTATATAACTATAGGATTGAATATGCAAACATATAAAAATCACAAAAAATGATTGAGATAAAAATACATCGCCGTAAATTTTTCATTTTCATACCAACAAACTGGTTGAAATGTGCCTAACGTCAGTGACGTCCTTATATGATTAGTGTCAATGAAGACAATAGACACTAGTGTGTGTGTGTGTGTGTGTGTGTGTGTGTGTGTGTGTGTGTGTGTGTGTGTGTGTATGACGCTAAAAAAATCGACTGATATTTTATATTTTTAGCAATTAGATAAATGACTGACGTGGAGAGACCGCAGCGTCTCGGCAGCCAGCCTCTGTCTCTCTGGCCTGACTCTTTGACATAAAGTCAACTTGAACCATGTGGATCAGCGGGTATTTGATGGCGGCAGAGGCAGAGCAAAAAGACCTAAACACCGGCCCCGGACTTTGGCCCACTAACACTCACCTGGAGACTCACCATCAGGTAGGAACCCTGTATCATATTAAACAGAGGTTAAAGTAACTGTGATGTTTTGTAGAAAAATGCAGGCACACTAATTATCTCATTTTGTAATGTTACAGGCCTAGTTTAGCTATTGTTGCTGTTATTACTGTAGTTAATGAAGAAACACTCTTAATACCTGAGTCAACACACTAACAAGTATCAACAAAAACTTAACATCAATAACATTTCTATTTTTCATTCTCTACTCTCTATGACAAGGTTTTATTTTATTCTATTTTATTGTGTTTACTGTAAAACCTTGACATTATACCGCGGACTTTTCGTCTTGAGGAAGCCGTGAGAAGCGGTCAGGGGGTCGGTCACAGTGTCAGCTCGGAGCCGGGCTCTCACATTGTACCGGGTGCTATTTACATGAACTCAGATTTCAAGCTTTCTGATAAAACATTAAACTGAGATGTTGAGCAGGCTGGTCATTCTATAGGTGTCCGGAATGTCACCTCAATACCACAATGCCTGTACAACAAGGCTGATTTACATCAATATATGTTCTAACATTTCCTCATGGTTAATTATAATTATAATTATTATCATAATTATTATTATTATTATTATTATTATTATTATTATTGTCGTTGCTGTTATTGTTATTATTAAGTTCAAGGTATCTATTTCCGGATGTAAACCTCACATTAAGAAGTTAAACTAGGGATGGTCTTATAGTTTTTGGAAAGTGGCTTTTGTGGAAGCAGCAGTAAATTATTGAAGAGGTCAATTCAAACGCAGTTTGTAAAGAAACACTGTAGCATCTCAAGCACTGTACATATTACAGTCCACGGCTACAGCAACAAAGCAGCTACAAATATAAGAGTCTACACATGCACAATTATCAACAGAAACTGAGTAATTCATTCGTTTTCAATGTGTCACAATCAGCAGACAACAGGTTACGGAGTGTGAGGTCACAATTCAAAAAGGAACAGTACAACAGTAACGACAGCAGACGCAGGCCTCTTTTAATCTTAGTGTCTTTTCTTCCTTCAATAAATAAACTCAGGCACGCTCCCTGTTGTCTTCTGCCTATAAGACTTTACTGGCGATTGTACTGGACTCACTGGGAGCTGTGGTCCTGAGGCTCCGCTCCTCCTCTCTGTTGTCACATCCACAGTTAACTACAGGCCTGTGTCAAGTCTCTGTGTTTCTTCTTACATTTGCAGTTACACCTTTACGGTTTGTTGTTCGTATGAAGCGAGTCAGCGACTGTCCGCTGCCTCAGTGTTTACACCATGCTAAAAATGTGAACGCACAACGGTGAAGCGCGTGGGCGGAGCTGCGCGACCGAACAGAGCGGAGTTAGCCGAGGAGGGAGACAGATGTGAAGGACATGATTGCAACAGAGACCCACAGCGAACCACTGAGCTGATTACCACGATAAGGCACCATCTAAGCCTCTCTCTCTCTCTCTCTCTCTCTCTCTCTGACCAGTTATCGTATGCGTTATGTTTTTGGCCTAAATGGGAAAAGTCCCGGTTCTCCCGATGGTCACTCCACTTTTGTTCCCCAGGAATTTCCAAGTGTTTCCTGCATTCAGAAAGAAATGTTGAATTATATGAGGAAAAAAAACATTTTAAAGACAAACAGGCTTCAACAGAAATTTGCCTAATCAATAATCTAATACCAGTGGCTTTAATGATGGTCAGACACTACCTTTGTATTCTGCGCTCTTCACATACACACTTAAAGAAATCACATGTGCCTAATGTAGAATATTAGCATGTTCCTAATTAAAACTGGGGAGCAGTGCAGCTTCAGTGGAGCCAATAAAACTGGTGACTGTATTTCGTTAAATACATTTTAAAATGCATCATTAAATATGTCAATAACTAATATAATGATAACCTTCAATGCAACAAACAGCAGGATCATCTCACTTTACTCTTGACCTTGTAGCTAATGGTTGCGGTGTATAGGCGTGAGCGTGGCCTGTGTGTGTGTGTGTGTGTGTGTGTGTGTGTGTGTGTGTGTGTGTGTGTGTGTGTGTGTGTGTGTGTGTGTCTGCGCGCGCGCGCCAGCAGGTCTATTTAGCAGGCCCATTGACAAGCTAACAGATCCTGCAGACAGGGCCAGCAGAGGGAGCGGTGATTCGCCATTGGCTGATGGAGGCTGTGACGTTGGTTTCTCCTCCCCGGTAGTAAAGATGACGTAGTAAATCAGACACACACTCTCTCTCTCTCACATACAGACAAGTTGGCTTTACAATAGCTCAGTATCAACTTGCCAGTAGTGACCCAGTGACTGGCCAGACTGTTCCTGCCTTGCCAAACGGCTCTGAGGCTGACAGCTGCTGACTGCCTCACAGAGAGAAGATGAAGTAGCTACAGAGAACAACAAGGAGGACAGTTTCTTCAGGAAGAGGGAGTAATAAGCGCTGCCTGCTGTGACTTTATAACGAAAGGGAGAGGGAGAGGAACAATGTCCTAGAGGAGGAGGAGTTGTTTGGACAGAACTGAACGGCCTGCAGGGCCACTACTGACAGGACGAGCCGGTCTAGCCTACCGCTGCGCGCCCGTGACGGTCGGTATTCCAGCTGTTTCTGTGGGAAACCTCTGGGGAGATTACTCAGGATGCAAGCATCAGCTCTGGATAACCGTTAAACGGCGAAGGCAAAAGCCTTACAGCTGCAGCATCCGAGAAAGACCGGTGTGCGTGCGCGCGCGCATGCAACAGAGCGTGTGTGTGTGTGTGTGAGTGCGTGTGTGTGCGTGAGTGCGTGTTTGTGTGTGTCACCATGAGTCTTGTGTCGGGCTTTCCTCACCACACGGTCATGCACCACCACGACAGCCATCACTACTCCCTGCACGCTGCCACGGCCGGTCGGTGTCACGAGGAGACCGGTGCTCCTCCTTACTTCACGAGCTGGCTCATAAGCCACGCGGACATGTCTCCCACTGAGTACAGCCTCGCGCCCGGCTACAGCCCAGAGTACCATGGCAACAGCGGCGGCGGGTCTACGGGCGGCCTGGATCCCCACCATCACCATCACCACCACTACGGACCCGGCGGCTTGGTTCCAGGGGCCGGCACCATCTCAGTGAACGGAGCTACGGTCGGTATGCACCACCACCACCACACACACCCACGGACGGTGAAGCGGAGACCCACGGCCAACCGTAAGGAGAGGCGGCGGACCCAGAGCATTAACTCGGCCTTTGCGGAGCTGAGGGAGTGTATCCCCAACGTCCCGGCCGACACTAAGCTGTCCAAGATCAAGACTCTGCGGCTGGCCACCAGCTATATCTCCTACCTGATGGACATCCTGGACAAGGACGGACAGCACGGAGACACGCAGGCTTTCAAGGCCGAGCTGAAAAAGACAGAGGCTCGGGAGGAGCGGAGGAAGAGAGAGGCGGTAAGAGCGCGTAATGATTATCAACTGAAATGAGATAAATGCTGTTTGTCCACACAGAGCTTTTATAATAAGAGCACAAATAACTTAATCATATGTTAGCCACTCCTTTTTAGCTGCATGACCGTAACAGCCTGGACCTATAGTCATCGCTGACATTAGCCAGTCTTCTCTCTGGTTAGCTGGGGGAAGCCCTTTAATAAAACAACACTGGAATAGTCTAAAGTTGACTCTAAGACCTGGAGAGCACAGCTGGCCGACCTGCAAACATCTTCTGTTCATGAGGTCTAAAGGCAGTGTAAGAGGAAACAGCCTACATTAGCGCGCTAATATAAAAACTCTGTAGGCCTATATTTATTGTGTTCATTGTCTTTGTCATTGTCTCCAAAATCCATGTAAAACGGTGTAAAATCAGGTGGTAGAACATAAAACGCCTTGAATTAAAAGAAAAACATGTTTTTTTAAACATTTGATTTCAGATCAGCGTCACAGGGCAAACTCCTTAAATGTAACTTTGATCAACTTTAACTTCAAATTCCACTTGTGTTCTTTTGTGTATAGGCTGGCTAGAGTTTTTTTTTCTTATATAATGAGCAGCTTGAACAAATTGTTAAAAATAAATAAAAAATATGAAATTATAAAAAAGCAATAGTATATGATGCTGCTTTGTGTATTTTATATCAACGGAATATATGTAGGATCCTGCACGGCTGGTTTTTTTTTTACATTTACATTTGCGAGATTGCCGCCACGTTTTTTTTTTTCCTGTCTTCTCTATGATCTGTAAATATTTTCTTCATCATGACAAAATGCCATAATAAATAGAGTTTGAAGCAGCAACTAGCCAAGGATATTTGCTGATTGGCTGCAGCCTAATCTAGTTTACTGAGGAGAAGATGAAGACGGATATAGGCCTTAAATAGTCAGCTCTCAGTACAGGCCATTTTACACTTGGTGCCAGAGCAGTAAGACGATGCGATTCATAATAGAGACAACACAGGAATGTCAATCAGGAAACCGTTGGTTCTGGAAGGTTTTTAATTTCGCCATGGTTATTTTATAATCCTGTGTACATAATATACAAGCACCCTACCTGCAGCAGTCCTCTATGGAGACATCACTGTGGACCCTCCAAAGATCATTATGATCTACAAAATCAGCTTCTGTTTTTATTCCATACAGTGTTGAAGTGAGAGAGGAGGCCAGAGAGCTGGAGTCTAAACTCAGCTACAAGGAGGAGGAAAAAAAGTAAACAACACAGGCTTTTCCTGTGAAGGAATTACACACACACACACACACACACACACACACACACACACACACACACACACACACACATAGGCTATATATACATTTAATGGAGAGTAATCTTATAGCTCCATTTATTTGGGGGGAGGAATTTAAAAATCCTGTCGTGGAGCACATGGGGCGCCTGCTAAAGAGAGTAAACAGTAAAATGTAGAATGTAAGTGTTTACCCGTAGTTGTAATGGATACTTGACTTCTTAATCATACAGTTGAGCCATATAAACAGTCTAATGGCTGGTCTATGGTCCAAACCAGTTTCCTTCCTCATCCACCTTGGAGCCGTGCAGGAGGGCCAGGTTCAGTCACATAGAGCCACCACTATTACTCCCAGTGCTTGATGGCTTCTGCTCTATCGTCCACATCCTTCTGACCTCAGCTCTGCCTACGCTGCTCCTTCAGTTTCCAGGGAAATATTTGGCACATCCAAGAGATTTAGACCTTTTTTTATATACATCTACACATGCTCTCTCAAACACAGTAGCCAGTGTTGCTGCTATTTTATTTTATATTTGAGTTATTATCCTCTTTATGATCACCGGCTAAAGGTCATAATTTATGATCTTTTTATTTACCACTAACAGATCTAACCGTCACGCCATTCATTCTACATGCTTTGACAAAAGTAGCTGCCACACATTTATTTCATGATATACGGCTACATCTTCACCACCACATCTTCCAACAACAAGCTTTAAATTATATGTAGAAACAAACAACACAGAGCAAGTCAGAAGAAGAGAAGGGAATAATGATTTCCAGTCTGCAGTCTCAACGTGCTGCCTATAGGAAGTGTTGTGCATAATGGGAGCCAGAAAGACATTTTTTCCTCACATTTCAAACTGCAATCACTAATAGGAGGATGTTGTCCTACTAATAACTCATGTCAAGTCTTTCTTGAAACTGCACTTCACACTCTCCTGCTACAACTGTTAAAAAAAAATTTATTAAGACGAAACATTTATCAGAGAAGTAATTGTAGATGAGTTTGATCCTCGTTGTTGTTTTAATTGCTCATGCTTATGCAGATTTTGTACAATTCATAAGATTTTTTTTCATGCACATTGCTGTACATTTTTTTTTTATCACTGATCACAGCTGTGCCTTAATATCAACTTATGGTCTGTTTGGTTTGTTGTACTACAGTGGGAAGATCTGTTGATCCAGACTTATTTTAGCTCATGTTTTTATTATATTTGCTCTATTTTTCATTTCATCTTGACTTACGTAGTTATTTTTATCACAATGCAGCAGCTGATTACAAATATACATTTCAATCATTATTTGAAATAATTTTTGATAGAAAAGATTTAGCCTTTAGTGAATGACAGACCTGCATGTTCCAGCACAACGTTTCATTTTGTTGCAGTGTTCATCTTTTAGGAAAAGAAACAGTTCATGTTGCTGTCTTTATGTCGTTTTGGTTGTGTGTGAGTAAGTGTGCAGGATAGAGAGTGCTCAGGCAGTGGCTCAGTGTCTCCTAGAAATGACGTTTAAATACAACTAAACTGGAACAGTAAATAGGTTTTGTAGGAGACGTAATGCGATATGCAGCCAGCAGACTAACAGTGTCTGGACCTCTGTCGTGACAGATGAGTGGGACGTTCAGAAAACCTTCTATGAAGTGGTGCGCAAATAATAAAACACTGACCAAACCCCTATTAGGTTCATATAAACATGAGGTGTGTGGGGTTGTAGATAAAAGATCCAGTGGCTGTGAGCGTGTTCGGATTTTTAGCGAGCCTTCAGTTGAAGTGAGGAGGCAGATGACGAGCCAGGCTACACGGTAGAAAGTGATAGTGGTTATGACTCATTCAGTCGGAATAACATTTTAGATGTTTAGATGTTTAGCAAATGATTATGGGACATTAAAAAAATGTTATAATGATTTTATAATCTGCTTGTAATTCATAACGGTGACGTATCGTAGTGGAGGCTGAAGATAAAGCGTGTGCTAGTGTAAAATCACAAATTGTTTATTTACAGATCCAGTCATTATTTTATCCACATGCATTTTTGTTTTCATTTGTGTTATCTCTTTGTTAGTATTTTTAATATTTGATGACGTGTACTAAAGAAACGGCCTCCGAGGCTTTGCATGTCTGTGTGGTTTGCGCATTATTTAATTCCGGACACTTTCTGCTGCTGGCAGCGCTCGCATTTTATTGGACCTTGCGGTTTTATTAACACACCTGGACAGAAATAGTGAATGTGTCAGTTCGATTTTTAGGGTTTTATACTTGACCTGATACGTCAACGTTTTTGCCTTTTTTTTTGTCTCCGCAGAGAGAGAGAGAGAGAGAGAGAGAGAGAGAGTCACTGTGACTTCAAAGATCTGGCAGTTTGACGCGAACTGTCTGATCTTTTATTAGCAGCCTACTACACGCACATTTCTGGACGAGCACCAACGTTTAGAACCTCAGAGCTCTCCTTTATTAAACTCCTATCATCTTCTTTGTTTTTATTTCACTGGTAATTATACAGACTATTGCTAATAAAAGAGCCACTTAAAAGTTGAATTTACAACATATTGACAAATAAAAGCAAAATTGCTCAGTGAAAATCTAAGTACGAGCAAGAAAGTGACACATTTAAAAAAAAAACGAGTTTAAATGAAGTCTATGAATAATATAAGTGAAAGCGCCAGCTGTCACAGAAAATCATTTACCAAGTTTTGAATGATTGTGTAGCTCAGCCTCAGCCCTGTGCGGATCATCTGTCCATGTGAGATGACCGCGTTAAACTTCCCTCTGCAAAGTAAGAAACGCCAAATGAAGGCAAATGGTTGTTGTTTCCCGCCTCTCGTGCTAGACTGGATGGATGGTTTCTAGTGGATTATAGAGTGTTTACCGACCTGAAGGGTGGTTTACCGCTCCAGAATTAACATATAGCTGAAAGCAAGGCGACGTTATGTCGTCACATTTTCATGTAGTTTGAAAATGATGAGTCGGGACAGGTGTAAATCCTGGAGATCTTCTTTCAACGTGAATACATGGACTGAATATGGACGACCAGGCCTACATTCAACTCTGTCGGAATATAACAGGTCGGTTTCACTGTGTCATCAAACGACACTCTGACACTCAGACTGACGCCTCAAAGTCAATCATCATTTTCACTATTCTCCAGACATTAAGGCTGCACATTGTCCAAACAATCACTTGCCGCAGTGAGTGGAGAAATATTTATAAAATAATTATTTGTTCATGTCCAGCTCGGCCTGTGGTTGTGTTACTGAGGTTATTCCCGCCTAGAGCGCCTTCTCTTATTTTGTTTTTAAACTTTGTTTCTCACTTATTATTATTATCATTATTAATATTGGTATTATTATTAATATTATAATTATCATTATTATTATTGTTGTTGGTGTTGTTAAGTAAAAAACGTGTAGGCTACACTCTTGGTAGAGGGAGTTCGACAGTAATCCAAATAATCATTAATCCCTCATCTTTAAAGATACAACGTGTGAGCACATTTGTACATGTATATGTGGAAAAGGAAATCTGCATAAAAACAATATTTTTACTATATTGTTTTCTAAATTATATTGATTTATTTTTAATTAGGCCAAATACTGTTTCTGGAACAGTTGTTGGCTGATGGAAACTGCAAGCTTTAACAATTAAACATGCAGAATCAAAATAGATTAAATACACTGACAATAATAATAATAATAATAATAATAATAATAATAATAATAATAATAATGAACATGATAAATAAATTAGGCTAATACATATGAGGTGGTTGCAGCATTAAACATTAAGAGCTATTTCCCTTTGGTTAATCCTGCAACATTAAATCCTTCTTATCAGGGCTGCACAATATGCAAAAAAAAAAAAAATCATTTTGCAATTATTTTGGCAGATATGTGATTTCAGTTAGAATGTTCTTTTTATCTTTTCAGTTTCAATGAAATAAATATAAAAATGATGATGATGTGATTTTTGTTGGAAACATCTGGAGAGTAGGATTTGTAGTCCGGGGCATCTCTGCAGTAGCACAACACTTGTGGTGCTGACAATGCATAACAATGTTGTGACATATTTTACCTTTATCAAAAAAAAAAAAACATATATTTCCAGTAATTGTGCAGCCCTAGTTCTGAGTGTTTGACGTGTTTTACAGGGAATAAATTCACATGAGCAGAACATTTTAATTGAGTTAGAGAATATACCTGAACACCTGGGCCACTCGTGGGTGATTCAGTCTTATTTCTGTTCAGTCCTGTCGCTTTGAAACACCCAACACATGATGGGTGCACTCTGTCTTGTGGACATTACACGTCTGGAGTACAGCAACTTTATTTTCTTTCTTTTCTTTTTTTATCAAAACACACTGTTGATGTGTCACGTTCCCATTTTGACTATTGTATATTAATGCATATTCCGTGAGCTTGTCCCAAACACATCGTTACACTACAAACACACTCGTGCTACAAAGTGGAACATGAAAACCAACAGGTGCTCTCATGCATGGTGAATGAATCTAGTTATTTGAACGTGGAATTATTTCTTCATCTGTATTTTTCATTTGTGTTTTAAAAAAAATGTGAAGAAAGAAAAGTAAAACTGTTTCCATGGTAACAAAGGCCACTGTCAATCGCTTATCTAGCTTTATTTTCTATCTCATAAAATACCAATATCAAAACGTTATTATGATGAATAAAATACAAATGTATGCGTCTGCAGGTGGAGATCCCTAAGACGACTTCATCATCATCACCTTCATTCTCATCGTTGTCCTCCTCATCAGCGGGCGACAGGAAGAGTAAAGGACGGACAGGGTGGCCTCAACATGTCTGGGCTCTGGAACTCAAACAGTAGCGCCTCCCTCCCTCGCGCAGGTTAACAGCACTCCCTTGCTCCTCCAGCCTTGTCCTGCAGAAGAGTGATGGGACAGTACTGACGCGCTCTGATGAACTGTAATGGCTGCCATCATCGTATCTCTGGACCTTGAGGCTGTCAACTTCCCACAGAACAGTGGACGCTGTATAAACTTTTATAGCTGTGTTCACTTTTTTTTGGAGTAGATTTATAACTCCCCCACCTTTCATCAGCAGAGACGCTTTCCGTGGCTTTGTGCTGTGTAAGGGTTTGACCTTGAACCCTGATTTCCTCTTTAAAGTTTACCTCGAGAAAAAAACCCCACTAATCACAGATTCCATGCTCTTTTTTTTTTTGATTGAAGATTTTAATAGAAAAAACATTTAAAAACACAAAAAATAGAAATATTTACAGCTTCACCAAAAATAGAAAAAAAAAAATCCCAATCATCATTTCCCAATAATTCAAAATAGCCTATTTGATGTGAGTGGAAGGCTAATTTAAAATACAGTAAATGTCTGTGGACTTGAACTATATATATGTACGTTAGAGACAGACCAGCTGGGTGGGGTCAGTGGGGTTAAAATAATATATTATCTGTAACATTTGACCTCGTGAATCAATAGGATCCACTGTTACATTCATCACACATCCAACTTAACCAGCTTTGCTCAAGTTACTCTCCCTGCCTCTGCTCTCCTTTCAGGGAGCTGACAGTCTAATGAAATAGGTGCCATTTAGTGGATGGGATGTATGCTGATTTAAGAGTGGTCCATGCGCTCTTAGGTTCTAACACGTGTACCCTGCCTCTGAGCAAAGTAGTTCCTGCCACTGCTGGAGTGTGAACGGAGAGCGTCGGAGTCTCTCTTCCTATTGAGGGAAAACAGAGTTGGGGACGTGCAAGACCATTTCTCTCTCTCTCTCTTTCTCTCTCTCTCTCTCTCTCTCTCTCTCTATCGCTCTCTCTCTCTCTCCCTCTCTCCCTCTACTCAAATACTCAAAACAGCCCAACCCAACCCCCCAACCCCCACATACTCACACACACACGGGGTGTTGACGTGCGCTCTGATTTATTTAATGGAATATATTATGTGCAATGTGGCCAAAGACCAAAACAGACTGACAACAGACATTTACTGAGTTTCATTGAACAACAAGGTTTATGAGTTTATGGTTCCATCTCTCTCTCTCTCTGTCTCTCGCTCTCTCTCTATCTCTCTCTCTCTCTCTCTCTCTCCCCCTCTCTCTCTCTCTCTCTCTGTCTTTTCTCTTGCAACTTTGAATTGTAAATGTAGTGACGTCACAGTGATGATGAAGTGTCCATGTTGTGGTGTGGAAAATATAGTGGGAGTCTAAATAATACTTAATGTGGGATGTAAACATTGTCATGAATTTAATAAACCACCACCTGGTTACATGCTAGTTGATGCAAACTGGGTTGATTTCTTACTTTTAGTCAGTCGTGCAGTTTTCTGTTCACATTCATTTAGGTTTGAGAATGATTCAGAAATAACCAGGTTATGTTATCCACAGCAACTTCAATGAGCATTTAAGAGGTAAAACACTTCTCTGTCAGTTTTGTGCTGATCCGGATGTAAATAAAACTCTCTGTTTTTAAGCTGAAAAGAAATACTTTCAAGTCGCAACAAAAACTGACACTAGATTTAAAACTGAATTTTGGACAGGCGCACAAAAAATAAATCATAGTCTGCATATCAAAAGGACAAACATATTTTTAGTTGTCATATTTTATAGGACATTTTTGGTGTGATTTAGATTATCCTTCGTTGTCTCCTTGTGATTTCCACATTCACCACTTTTTAAAAGGCCAAACTTTTTTTTTAAGCCATATTAAATTTAAGTTATATTCACAAATTAAATTCAAGAATTTGACTCAATGACAAAAAATATTTACTTTCTAATACAACAGTTGCTGTATTAGAAACTAACAATAACTGAAAAAATGATTTGTAATACACAGATCCAAGATGACTAATCATAAATTCAGCAGTGGATGACCTTCAGCAGATATCGCTCTCAGTCTGTGAGCACTGATGTTGTATTTGTGTGAATGTTAAATGTGAATTACTCTGAACAGCAGGTGGATTTGTTGCTGCTTTTACCGCCTGTGGTGACACACTTCTGTGATCTGTGACGCCAGCAAGAAAATATGAGAGTCAAACATTCTCACATCCCATTGAATAATGATCAGGAGGCCGGAGCGAAAGGGTCATGATTTCAATCTTATCGGTTTCTGTAAAAAATATCTGAAATCTGTCACAGCATGGGTTGAACTCGTCCTATCACTTTGCTCTATCTAAATGACGGCTGCCATTAAAGCCTTTCTATTTTACAAACAATAGGGTGAGATCCCTGTCAGTCCTGCAAAGGCTTAATCATGTTTCTGTGGCAAACCTTTGTGGCGCCTTTACTGTGGCACGTTGGGCGACCCACTGCGGCTGATGTGCAAGTCCTCAAAAATGTTAACAGTCATGTGGAGAGTCTTCATGGTCAAACTGAGCTTCTTCATTTATTCTGCTACATTTCTCTGGTGCTGGCAGGGTTAGTTGTTGAGAAGACCATGAAGGAAATACTAGGGAATCTTCTTGTTTATAGTAATGCTGGTTGTTCCTATCACTAAGCACTGCTTAATTGTATACAATATATCGATAACTCATAAACTTAATGTGGAGAACAATGATTCACTACATACACACTATTTTCCACCAATGTAAAGTGAGTATATTTGCAGCTCTAGTTATAAATGGATGTGTATTTAGCATGATTTATGAATTAAATATAAGTTTCTCCGTCCTGAGAAAATAAAAATTCCATATACTTTGATTTGTTTTATATTTGTGGCAAGTAAATGATCCAAAACTTGTACCAGTCAAACACAAAAACAAATAACTGCCCGACTATGATTTTTGTCACGTTAACAGCAGGAACACCGTCACGCTTTCAGACAACCCCATAGAACAGTTATTGACATGCTGCGTGCTCTTAACATTACCAAGGTATCTGATGGAGCTGTCAATCAGCTGTCCATTGATCAGGCCTTATCTGGCATCCAGGTCGGTATGCTGATAGGAGACGGGGAAAAAGAGCTTGAGAGGATAAGTCTCGTTCTGACAAAGACTAGCACGAGATGTAATGGCCTGAGTCTGGCCTCGGGTGAAGACAGGAGTGCAGATAATTAGTGAGAGAGCTGGCGTCAGACAGAGATGACCTCACAATGACCGGGACACAAACCTGCACATGCACACACACACACACACACACACACACACACACACACACACACACACACACACACACACATAAATACCCATGCACCTACCAAAAAGTGGAGTGGGAATAACAATCAGCCCGGGGCTTTGGACCTGGACTGGCCCATCAAAACCCATACAGCCCCTGTAATAAACAAAGGTTAAATTAACCATGATGCTTTGCTTTGTATAACAATACATGAAACAGAAGCATCAGCACATGATTATATTTGTATAATTTCATAATGTTGTTACAAAACATTACATGTTGTTATAATAATAATAATAATAATAATATAATAATGATTATATGATGATTATATTGCTCATATATTTCATATTACAGTCCACAACTACAACAACAAAGTAGCTACAGTGTGAAAAATGACCATATAACTGAGTCAACAGTACATTGGATGTCTCTGTAATAAAATTCTCTATGTTGGAGGTAATCACAGAATTTCTGGTGAAACCAGAAAACAACACAACATATATTAAATAAACTCAGCAGGTTGTTTTCTGCTGCTTTAAAACTTGACTTGTGTTTGTACTGGACTCACTGGGAGCTGTGGTTCTGAAGCCCCTCTGCTGCTCCGCTCTTCCTCTCTGCTGTCTGCACTCACTGCATAGTCTAGTCAGCTTGGGAGGGAGATGATGGCCACAGTGGGACATGCAACCTGCTCGACTGGGCTGATCACCACCATAAAGTAATATCTATATCTTGATCTCTCCATCTCTCGCTATTTTCTCCACCCCTCTCTGACACTTGATATTTTGGACATTAACATTACCAGGCAGGGACAAATGGAATAAAGTAGTGTCCACACACAGAGCCTCACGTCTCATAGCCAAAGATAACATCTCCAACAAACATAAACCGAGAGCTCAGATCAGCTGAGTCTGTTTTTCAGCCTTTCCCTTCACTATGACATAACTAGTGTCAGCTGCGTCCAGTGAAACTGCAGCAGGTCCATAAATTCATTATTGGATAATTCAAATGCAAATTGCATTTATCAGATTTTTTTTTTATCCAGCTCTAATATCAAACAAATACACTGACCTAAATGCAAACAATGCACATATAATGAATTATTATGGTCAACTCTTGAATGTTAAATCAGGTACTGACTGAAGCCAACATGCTTCAGTGGAGCCACAAAAGGAAAGTGAAACTGCAACTTTTTTACAACTTGTTTGGACCAATGTTTGGTCGTGCACATGCCACTTGCATCAAATGTAAGGATGGAAAGAATTTGACAGGATTGATAAATCCGTTACTGAGCTACAGTGGTACAGTACAGTACAGTCATACACTCATTTTTGACACCTTGCCTGGGCATATCATCAGTAATGTACCCTGAGGTTATTGGGGTGTGTTGGGTATTTCACCATCAGACTAGTCCAGGCAACCAAGCTGAGGCTGTATACAGCCTGCATATTGTGGACATGATGCTGAGGCTACGTCCACACTGCTACGTTTTCATTTTGAAATATAATCAATCTTCATCCAGACGACCGTTTCAGCTCCATATCAGAAATGATCTCTGTTCACACTAACACACCTGAAAACACACACATACGTGAGCATTCACGTACACTGAGCATGTGCGAGCTGGTGTAAACAGGAAGAAGGCTGTCTACTCTGCAGTTGGTTAGTCACACAAAATACTACGAAGGAGGAAAAGCAAAGACAGTTGTAGCATTAAAATGCAGAATTTAACTGAATAACAGCTGCTAGCAAAGACAACACGGTCAGTAACACTGTAATTCATTATCATGTTGTATTCACCACTGGTAGTCAAGGCGGATAAGAGCCAATCAGGAGAGACCAAGGGTGTCTACGTCATAATTTCCAAAGATCTCAGTTTCTGTTTGTCCATACTACAACACAACCGCAGAGTTTTTAAAATAAAACACAACCCCAAAGTTTTCAAAATAAGACCAGCAGTGTTTCCAGGAGTCTCTGTTTTTGGAGTGTGAAAGGCAGGATTAAATGTAGGAAAAGAAATTGTGTTTAAAAACAAACAAAAGTAATGTGGACGTAGCCTGAGTGTAATGTAGGCAATG